AAGTAAAAGTCGACTTTTCTTCACAAATAGTTGATTCTTTAGCCATAAGAGTCGACTCTCTATTTATAGAGTCAATTCTAACCTACAGCAGAATATTTACAACTCTCTGAAATTTGGAAGTTAAATTTTGACCATCTATAGTCTATTCTTGAAAGCTTGAAAGTCAACTTTATTATTTTAGATTTGACTCTTTATTACCAAAGAGCCGACTCTTACCTAAAGCAGGATTTTTTGGGCGTTAAAACGAATGGTGTCGACACTATAGATTATACTCTGAATTACGTGTCGACACTTAACCGGTGTCGGGTTTCTGGTCTCTCTGCAATTTCTTCAATGGTAAAATTGCAAAATCTGGTCCTCTATATTTCGTACGATGATCCCTTAGATCCAAAAACTTAAGATTCATTCATTTAGGTCCCAAACGAGCTCCTTTCTTCTTGCAATTCAGCCCCTCAACTTTCAAAAGATGTTCAATTAATCTTAAAAACTCTTATTATTATGCATTAATAGTTCAAAATAAGGAAAAACTGGGAAACACTACTAAAATCCTCACCTTCAGCAACATGGAACCCTGTTGTTGCTGAAAGTGGACCTCATTTTAGGTGGGAAATGGTTGGTGTGTGGTGATCGGAAAATGTTAGCAACAAGGTGTATATTGCTGAAATTCACTTTCAGCAACATACCCCTTGTTACTAAAAGTGGAAGTGGTGATACTCATCCCGGTGGTTGGAGATGGTATATATATATATATATATATTATAGCTTTGGCCAACCACCGATCAAAGAATATCAGCAACATACTCCTTGTTGCTGATGTTTGATTGGTTAAAAGATAGGAATAACAGCAACAAGGTATATGTTGCTAATACTTAAGGTTTTCAGCAACATAACTCTTGTTGCTAAAATTCACTTTTAACAACAAGGAACATGTTGCTAAAAAGTGGAGCTCAATTAAATCCCCAAGGATTCACCGAAAAATATCAGTAAGATGAAGTATGTTGATGAAAGTTACTTTCAACAACAAAAAGTATGTTGCTGAAAGTGGAGTAGCTTTTCAGGGTGAGGTGTACTGGAGAACTTTCAGTAACATAGGGCTTGTTGCTGATACATATTTTCAGCAACAAACAATCTCATGTTGCTGATATATTGTTGCTAAAAGCCAAAATTTTAGTAGTGTATGTGGCTAGCTAGCTTGTACATTGGCTCTTTTTACTTTAATAGTTCAATATGTAAAACTTTTGGAACTAAACTATCTTTTTTTTAATCTTTGAGGACTAGCCTTGGAAATTGTTCAATGCCTTTTAACGAAGACTTAACGGTTTTGGTGCTTTTCCCGGGTTTTGCAAAACTTTAGCGTGTTGACCAGAAGGAGAAATTTTGTAACGTGTTGACCGCAAAATGAAAAAATATCTTAAGGTGTTAAAGAGAGTTTGGCCTTTTGCAAATCCCATCAGCATGTAGCAAAACACTCGACATGTTGATCAATCCACTACTGCAAAGCAACAAACAACAACAGTGTTGGACAGGCAGCAGCTAGCGCACCTGGCTCACACAAGCTTGACCAAGCAATGCTGATACTGTCGATACCTGGATGTCGCGCACGGAAAGGTAACCACAAACCCAGAAAAATTGCTAGAGCATCGAATGTAAGTCATGGCAACGTGGTCAATCGCATTAATTCCTTAAAGCATGTGCATACATCAAGGCCACAACGGAAGCGAAGAAAACCAACCTATCTTGCAAACTTCATCTTAAATGGAGTTCAAACGAATACAAAAAACTCCTCCATCTCAGGTATACCGTATCCTATCTCATTTTATTTCATATGAGAAATTTAATCCCACTCACCACTCCTTTTTAGTATCCATCTCCAAAGATGAACCACAATCTTTCTCTTAGGCCGTCCAAGATTCCAAATGGAGACAAGTGATTAAAGCTGAAATTGCTACCCTCAAGAAAAATCATATTTGGACTTTAAAGACATTTCTTCTTGACAAACAACCCATAGGATGCAAACAAGTTTATAAAATCAAATATATAATGTCAATGGAACAATTGAAAGATATAAGACACACTTTGTTTCGATGAAATTAGCTTTGTTACAATGAAATTTACCTAAATTGAAGGAATAGACTACAATGAAACCTAGTTACCATTTGATGCCTACTATTCATTACATGCAACTACCCGCAAGCAATATGAGAATAAAGGCAAGCAACGTTTTCGTCACTTAAAAAGTCCTACATGGCCTCAAGCAAGCGTCAAGGAATTGGTTTGCAAAATTTGCTTCAGCTTTAAAACTTTTTTATTTTCAACAATCTATGAGCAATTATTCACTCTCCAATGAGTAGGGAGAGAATAATTTCTTGCTGTACTAGTTATATTGATGATTTGATTGTTGCAAGAAATAATTCATTTCTTTGTCACTAACTAAAAGAATTTCTCCATACAATGTTTCATATTAAAGATCTTGACAAGCTCAAATATTTCCTACACATTGAAGCGGCTCATCATCCCTCTAGAATTTTCCTTTGCCAACGGAAATATACACTTACATCCTTGTTGGAACTAGAATGCTAAGAATGAAGCCACGCCCTTTTGCTATGGAGCAAAAGCTTAAATTTACTCCTAATTCTAGTTCCCCTTTATTTGATCCTATGTAGTACAAGAGACTAGTTGGAAAGCCAATATACTTGACTATAACACATCATGATATTTCATATGCTGTTCATACTCAATCAATTCATGTAAGCTCCTCCACAGCCTTATCTACGTGCAACAATGCAGGTTCTACTATAATTGAAATACTCGCTTGGACAAGGCATTTTCCTCTCCTTATCAAGCCCTTTACAACTTTCAAACTATTATGATTCTAATTGAGCTAGTTGCCCCATAACCAGGAGATCTACAACTGGCTACATCACTTTGCTTGGCAACTCGCCTATATCATGGTAAACAATAAAACAATCCATTATATCAAGATCATCAGCTAAAGTTGAATATAGAGCTATGGCTTCCACTGTCAATGAACTCCCATGGCCCAAAGGATTGCTGAAGACATTAGGAGTTGATCATTCTCAACCAATGCAATTACATAACAACAATCAAGAGACCATTCACATAGCCAAAAATCCAATCTTTCATGAATGCACAATGTACATTAAACTCAATTTGCTCCGACTTACAAGTGGCTAATATATTTAAAAAGGCATTCGAAAGTGGTCAGTCCCAACTTCTTCTCCACAAGTTGGGCATTAAAGATTTGCATGCTCCGATTTGAAGGATGGGTGTTATTTTGTTGAGTTATTCACTAGTACAGTATTTCTCAATCATCACAAAAATACCGTCACAAACCGTTAGCTAGCCGTTAGGCATCAATTACATTTTATTTTCTAGTCATTATACCTTACTCAATTCCCTTTGTATTTTACGATTAGCTAAGGATCATTGCCTTATTTAGCTATATACCTGGCATTGTTAATTACAGGAAGCCTTTATGAATAACACAAGAACATTATTTTTCACAACCAAGCATTTCTTTACACCACAGAGTGTTTTTTACACCACACTGCGTCAGGATAAAAAAAAAAAAAAATCCAAATATCAGCTTGTTTTCTTCAAACATTTCCTTACATGAATGTTGTTATTGACCAATTAAAAAAAATTCAAATAAAAGGAAGAACCCCATAAGTCTGTTAATGTTGAATGTTAAGGCAAATTAATTAAGCATTTTTCTTAGCAGATTCCTTTTCCTTCTCCATGCGCTCGAAGAGGCTTCCATCGTAGACAGCTTTGATTGTTTCTCTCTGCAGCAGACCATTCTTGTCCTTACAAAGAACATACAAGATTTTCCATTCTGTAAAGCCAGCAAGCCTGAAATGCATGCCCAAGTTTTTCAATTTCAGTTAGCACAAACTTTGTTTATGAAGAAAGAAAAAGAAGAAAACTAAGCACTAACCATCCTAAGAAATCCTTTGGTTCCCTATTCGCCTTCAACATCGCCATTACTTCATCTGATGTTAAAGCATTGGGATGGGTGTGCGCATGCTTGAGGAAAATCTCTTCGAATTTTGAAGAAACAAACCTTCAAATAAATAGTAAAATTTAATTATATATGTGACGATTAACTTGAACCATTGGACCATGGTAGAGTTTATGTACTTTGGCCACTTGTAGAATATTTGTAAAAGGGAGCAAGTTCCATGCTTCAAACAACTTCCCTAACAACTATTCATTTTAAAAGTTTTTTTTTTTAGAAAAAATTTAGTGGGTTTTTTAATCTAACAAATTTAAGAAGTTCAGCATTCAAGTGCAAACATGTGAGTAAAGTAAGTTGAATAAAAGAAAATTATTTTTCATTATGCAGTCCAAAATCAAAAATAAAAAAATAAAACAAAATCTTATTTATAGATAGGATTTGTTATTGTCATATTTATGACTCCTGTATTATAAATTTAATAGTCAGTAATAAAGCAAGAGGAGTAAAATTTATTCAAATATCTTTATTGAATCTTTCTTGCATATTAATTCATAAAATGTATTTGAACGTTTTTGTTATCATTTTTAACATTATAATTTGTACAACAATATCAAATCTATATGTATCCAGCTTCTTCTAGTTTAAGCTCTCACTTTAATTATGCAAGCAATCACATGCATAAGCATAAAAAAAGGTAAGAGCACTCGAAATATTCTCCAAAACCTTGCACGTTAAGTAATTTACCAAAAGAGTCATTCCAAAGTGAACAAAGTTGGAATTTATTTTGAAAAGCAAAGATTCTTCACATGATTTAGCCTGCTGTCTACGTACTTCACAAACCAAAAAAAAATACTTGAATTAAAAGGGAAGACATATGACTGAAGCAAGTTGTCGGTTAAAATGTACCTTCCTTCAGTGTCATATACACCGGAATCACTCCCATGTTTGGCAAAATGGATGTTCTTAATCTCAATTGGGAACAATAAAGAAGGAAATTTGCCCTACAAAAAACAGGACATTAGATCAAAAACGGAAGAGACATATATATATATATATATATATATATAAAGCAGAGCCTCGCGCTTTCAAGGGATATAGAAATTGAAACTATTTAGATACATAGTTTATGTACCATCTATAATTATTGCCTAAAATTTTAAACTATCTGAAGGAAGACAAACAGCAAAAATCAAAAGCAATAAAACTTCCAATTCCGAATATGTTATAAACAGAAATGTTGCCAGAGGAACAGTAAAAACTTTTTTTTTTTTGAACATTTTTTGTTATGGGACCGACTCAAACCATTATCCTAAAGGAGAAAAATATGAATCTTACAAACGTGACTAGAACCACTTGACACTTCGGGCCAGATTCAAAGAACAGTGAAAACTTAAGAAATGCAAGTGGCAGAATTTGCATAAATATGTGAATCTGGGCAGACTGAAGAAGACAAAAAGCAAAAATAGCTTTTGAGAAGGGTTTTAAATTATAATATGGAAGTGCTCAAATAATCGTACAAAATGGATGATTAAAGAATTTTGGGTTCGTGCGCCATATATATATATAAGTTTTACTTTCAGTAGTTTTTTCATATTATATTTTTAGAATTCTTTTGTTTTTTTTGGTCAACATCTACGCGCAAACACTATTTTACTTGTTTTTTTTGGTCAACATCTACGCGCAAACACTATTTTACATCAACAATACCATATATATATAATGTTTTTAAGTATAATTAAATTTAAAATATGATATAATATTAAATAAATAAATATATTAATTCACGCAATTTATTACCAAACTGCGTTCAGATTGAGAAAAGTTCAAAAGAGCAGATAAAACGCAAAGAATAAAGACAAAGTGAGTAGATGCTAAAATAGCCTTCAAATTTCCTTGATAAGGAGAGAACAATCCTCCCCAAACCAAGGACAACTTAAAGGTTTTGTTTGTGAGTTAAAAAGTAAGTCCATTGTGAACTTCGCCTATATTGGAATAAATAATGAAATATATAGGTTTAGTGACACCTCATATATGATAGAAATAAGACATAAACTATGGTCCATGTATGTACTAAAAAATAGGACGATTAATTAGAAAAGAGATGCCCAACGTTGCATTTTGCAGAGTAAAATTGTCGCTTTCACTTGTTGATAAGAAAGGAAAACTAAGCGGGCATCAAGTATTATATTATTCCCAAAGCAATAGTCATTCTGTGCCTTCAAGACAACGATTTCCAATCAGAAATCAGATCAAGATTATTATATTAAAAGTGATTAATTAATGATAAATGAAAAGTTTGATTCGAATTCCCTTGAGTCGCTAACAAGAAAATTATTGTAAACGTATGTGGATTGATGAAAAATAATTTTTTTTTTACAAAATTACAAATTGCGTGTAGGGGAATCGAATCCAGCTTGAATTAGGGATACACCTATTAAAGCTGACAAAACCACTAGACCGAAAAGGTTAGATGCCGATTGATGAAAAATCATAGAGATATAATAGAATCTTACTATTCTAATGTGACCGAAGTCATGACCTAAAACATTTTACTTAGGTCTTGTGATTCAATATGTGGCATACTATTTCTTTGATGTCATTTAACTATTGTAGGAGTGCTATGTAGGCGCAGGGTAGAATTCATTAATCTGAATATGTGGCAAGCTATCAATTTGTGTTTTTTCTTTAGCTAATAACCGCATCAATCATTAATAACAAGATTTGAACCTAAAATGTTTGTTTTAAGCAAAATGGAAGAAAGGAAATTGATAGATTTTATGACGAAACAAGTTACAATATTTAAAAATATTATACTATTTTTGTTAATTTTTAATAGTCTTAATTTGATATTTTAATTTATTTTATAAATATGAATTTTAAATAAAAATTCAACATACTGTATAAATAATAATTGAAAATTATTTTAATTAAATAAAAATACTTAAATAAAAAATTCATATAAAGAAAGAAAAACTTTCCAATTAGTACGTATTTATATAAATTTGTAAACTTTTTTCTAAAATTTATATTTTAAAAAAATTACAAATAAAACTACCATAAACAAACATAAGAGGTAATTTAATTATTAAAAAACTTTTCCCTCCTCCATTCTGGAATCAAATATATTATAAAACCAAGGAACATGAGGCTGGCTGGCTAGGCTTTATTGGCAACTTATGAAAATTATAAAATAACAGTAAATAAAACAAAAACTAATTTTGAAGGTAATTTAAAATACAACTTATTTGTCTTAATATTGTCCTGTCCCGTCCTCAAAAAATCCGAAGAATAAAAATTATTCAAAAAAACCAAAAATAGAGAGAGAAAAAAGGAATCTAATCTAAATTGGGTGGAGGAGGAATTTTACAAGTGGCGTTTTGTGAGGAGAATAAAAATTACTGTATTCAAAGACCAAAAATAGTGAAAGAACAAAGAGGAATTGAAGAATCTAAATATGTGGAGTAGTGAGAATTTTACACGACGAGTTTTGCGACTGAGTCCAATGTTGATGAAGAGTGCAGCAAATGTAGACAAGACATAACCACACCCGATTGCTCGAAAACCTGAACACAATCACACAAACAAAATTATATTTATATTAAACTCAAATATCAAATCAAAAGAATTGACAAAAAAAAAAAAAATTTGGTGTGGGAAGAATTTAACAATAGAAATCAAAATGACCTTTAAATGTCTCCCATGGATAGACGATGCCGTCGTGATTCCGATCGAAAAAGGAGACGTGCTTCTGTAGAAAGTTTTGATCAGTGGTTGTGCTTAGCTTGTCATCACCTCCTACATGTAGAAAGACTGATTAACATGTCTGGAGAATCAAACGAAGAAATTTGTCTAAGGAAAATCTTCATACCATGTTGGACGGGACTGCCGGATGCCATTTCTAGAGAGTTTGAGATCAAGGTGGGAAGCTAGAGAGGGGAGAAGAATTTTTTTTTTTTTTGAGGGGGGAGGGGGTGTGGGGGTTGTGAAAGGAGAGATTGGCAATTTGAAACGCAACAAATGCTTCGTTGTCTGGAGAGGGAAGGTTCTGCGGGGCAGTTGTTATCATTTATAAAAGGAAAGGACAGCACAAGACACCGGACGATAATTGAAGGGAAAAGACACGAAACTACTCGCTTCCAAATTCAAATGCCGAAATGCGTTCCTTACGTTTGGCTAATTTAAGGGAAAAAGAGGGAGGGGAAGAGAATGGAAAAATATGAAATTCTTTTATTTTAATTTTTACTAATTTTTTAATATTTAAAAATTATATTCAATTTTAATTAATTTAAAATTATATTATATTAGACTTCATAAGAAAAAACTTTCTTAATTTTTATTTCTTTGTTTCGATTTTATTTAAAGAGTTTAAATTTTTTCTATTATGATTAACAAATCATTTGTCATTTTTTTTTTGTTTCTTTTATTCATATAAAGAAAAAAATATTATATAATTAAATTATATCAAATTACATAATAATAATTATTAAATACAAAGTAAATTTTTTAATATTAAAAAAAATTTATTTAATAATTTTATTTTATAATGTAATACAATTTAAATTATAAAATAAAAATATTTAAATTAAAATACTCAAAATAATTAAAAGCAAAAAATAAAACAATTTTATCCCTCCATTTCAATTTTTTCCAATAACTAAATAAAATAATTGTCTCCCTTCCCTTTCCCTCTCATTTGTTTTCCTTAAACGAAAGTTACACCTAATAAA